TTTAAAAAAAAAAAAAATACAAGGAACCTAAAGCTTTTAGCACAGATCAGTAAATAGTTATTTTGTTACTACTTCGGCCCTCCCCTTCCGATCGCAAAATGTAGCCATTCCGGTCCCACCCCTCCTAGCGGAGCCCTAAGCGCTTCCCAGCACCGAGCTGGTCTCGTTTCCTGCTCGGCCCGGCGGTTCTCGGAAATCAGCAGTGTCGGTCCGGGGCTGTTCCATTAATGGGACTCCTCCCTCCGCAGCCGTGGGGCGGGGCTTGCTCAAGATTCTCCCACCAATCGCTGGAGCCGGGGGGGTGGCTTATGCCTCCCTGGCCCCGCCCCGCGGAGAGAGCGGCACCGAGGCGGAGCCAATGAGCTCACAGCCTGGGGCCTGGGAGCGCGAGACGCTGGTGCGGAGCTCCGGGTGGGGAAGGAAGCCGCGACCAGAGCCGCCGGAGGGAGGGGACCGAGCCCCCCGCCAGGTACGGACCCCGAGGGCGCGCGCGGGAGTTGGGGGGTGGAGGCGCGAGCTGCCCCCTGGGAAGGGCGCCTGGCCCGGGAGCGCTGACCTATGACATAGGCGCTGTCACCGCCTGCAACCTGAGCACCCCCACCTGGTCGGGTGCAGGTCCCCAGCTGTAGCCCCCCGCTCCCCTCTCCTCTAAATCCCCCGCACCCTCAAACCCGCAACTTGACATTGTTGCCCTGGCTTAGGGCCTTGCGATACTTTGATTCCCATTCCCCCCTGACACACACACACACACACACACACACACACACAGGTCAATGTCTAAGGGTAGATTTGTCATCCTTATTTGTTATGTTAGAAAGCATAAGATAGCTGAAACCGATGAGGCTGTGGATAGAGCCTCGGCCTGTGGACTGCAAGGTCCCAGGTTCGATTCGGGTTAAGGACATGTGCCTTGGTTGGGGGCACATCCCCGGTGGGAGGTGTGCAGGAGGCGACTGGTCGATGATTCTCTCTCATCGATGTTTCTAACTATCCCTCTTTCTTCCTCTCTGTAAAAAAAAAAATCAATAAAATACATTTTTCAAAAATGAAAGAAAGAAAGAAGTCAAGGATGACAGAACTTAAAAAAAGCAGAATATACCGCCCTGGCCGGGCTGCTCAGGTTGTCAGAGCATCCTCCCCATACTCCGATCAGGGCATATACAAGAAGCAACCAATGAATACATCCATGTTCAATGGAACAAACATCAATGTTTCCCTGTCTCTCTTCCTAAAATCAATTTTTAAAAAAAGTTTTTTTAAGTAGAAGATAAAGCCCTGGCCAGTGTTCTCAGTGGTTAGAACGTGCACCCGCACACCGAAGGATTCCAGGTGAAGGCTCGTACCTGGGTTGTTGTAGGTTGGATGCCTGGTGGGCGCCTGTGGGAGGCAACCAATGGAAGTTTCTTCTTCACATCGATGTTTCTGTCTCGCCTTTCCTGTTCTAAAACCCAGTGAAAACATACCCCTCCATCCCCTAGCCGGTTTGGCTCAGTGGATAGAGTCTGCCTGCGGGCTGAAGGCTCCCGGTTCGATTCCAGTCAAAGCTACATGTCTGGGTTGCAGACTCAGTCCCCAGTAGGGGGCGTGCAGGAGGTAGATAGTCAGTGGTTCTCTCTCATTGATGTTTCTGTCGCTCTCTCCCTCTCCCTTCCTTTCAGAAATCAATAAAATTAATTTTAAAAAAAGTACCCTTCAGCCTGGCCTGCATGACTTAGTGGTCATCCTATAAACCTGGAGGTCTTGGATGGATTCCTGGTCAGGGCATATATATATATAAACATATATATATAAACATATCGTTGGTGAGAATTAAAAATAAATAAGTAAAGATAGGTGATTTTTTTTTTTTTTAAAAAGAGGTTTGTTTGTTTTCATATTTAAACCTCAGGGTTTGCTAGTTGCCTTACTCTTTTATTGTCTTTGTTTTTTTGTTTGTTTTCCTCTTATTTCTTTTTTAAAAAATATATTTTATTGATTTTTTTTACAGAGAGGAAGGAAAGGGGATAGAGAGTTAGAAATATCCATGAGAGAGAAACATCAATCAGCCGCCTCCTGCACACCCCCTACTGGGGATGTACCCACAACCACAGCACATGCCCTGGACCAGAATCGAACCCGGGACCCTTCAGTCCAAAGGCCGACACTCTATCCACTGAGCCAAACGGTTAAGGCTCCTGTTGTTTCTTATATTGCCTTACTCTTTTAATTCCAGCCAATTCGTGCCTTGAGAACTGGAGCCTTTTCTTCTTATTATTATTCTTTTTTAATGCAGTACAGGTGTACATAGTTTAAAAGGTCAAGCATTACTAAAAGGCTTAAAGTGAAAAATAAGAGCCCTGCCCAATCCTGTCCTTCCTCTGTTCCTAATTCTTAGAGGTAGAAAGACAGCTCATAATTATTCATACTGGTGGAAACAATTTCTCCCGCCCTAAATTTTTCTTTGATTTATAATAAAATCATATGACATGTTTAGACCACAGAAGTGCATGTTTGTTCTTTTCTGTAAGGTTGAGGTTGCAACAAGAGTAAGTTTTAATTTCCTAAACAGACAGCAGTGGGTGGGCAAGCTAGGGAGAAAGATACTCTGCCTAGTCTACTTGGTGACAGGCAAAAACCAGTTTTGAGTGAAGTTTCTGAGTCTCTGACAAATTTGATAATACACATGAAGATTCAGAGATCAACAAAGATCATAGAAGGTGACACAGTCTTAGGGATTGAATAACCCCTTGCACAGCTTTTACTTTTATTTTTTTAAATATTTTTATTGATGTCAGAGAGGAAGGGAGAGGGAGAGAGAGATAGAAACATCAATGATGAGAGCGAATCATTGATCAGCTGCTTCCTGCATGTCCCACACTGGGGATCGAGCCCACAACTCAGGCATGTGCCCTGACTGGGAATCAAACCATACCTCCTGGTTCATAGGTCAATGCTCAACCACTGAGTCACGCTAGTTGGCCCCTTGCACAGCTTTTAAACATCTAGAATGCAGCTCTTACTTTCTACTTGGAGAGCAGTTTATAGAGCACTAAAGGACAGATGCACTCAGGTGGGGGGGCAGGGCAGGCATCCCTCAGCCCAGCCTGTGCCCTCGCACAGTCTGGGAGCCCTCGGGGGATGTCCAACTGCCTCCTTAGGCCTGCTCCCTGCACTGCCTTAACTCCCACCACCGCTGCTGCCTTTGCCAGCCATGAGCCCAGCTTCTGTCTGAGCAGTGCTCCCCCTGTTGGAGTGTACTGAACACCAGGGGGCAGCTCCTGCATTAAGCATCTGCCCCCTGGTGGTCAGTGTGTATTATAGCGACCAGTTGTTTCGCTGTTTGATCAATTTGCATAATAGCCTTTTATTATATAAGATACTAGAGGCCTGGTGCACAAAATTCATGCATGGGTAGGGTCCCTAGGCCTGGCCGGCAATCAGGGCTTTCTGACTGTCGGCTGGGGCTTTCCTTCCCCAGCTGCCCTCCACCAACTGGAGCCTTCCTTTGTTCCTTGCTGACCCCTGGTGGTCAGTGCATGCCATAGCAAGCTATTGAACTCCCAGTCTCCCAGTTGAACTCTGAGGGGACATTTTGCATATTAGTCTTTTATATATATAAATTTTATCTCCAAGGAGGTTTCAGCCCCTGATAAAGCTTTGGAGCCAGCAGGGATCATACTGAAGTAAATACTTATGACCCTCACTATCTTTAAATGCTCTAGCACAGTGGTCAGCAAACTCATTAGTCAACAGAGCCAAATATCAATAGTACAACTATCGAAATTTCTTTTGAGAGCCAGATTTTTTAAATTGAAGCTTCTTCTAATGCCACTTCTTCAAAATAGACTCACCCAGGCTGTGGTATTTTGTGGAAGAGCCACACTCAAGGAGCCAAAGAGCTGCATGTGGCTTGCAAGCCGCAGATTGCCTACCACGGCTCTAGCATAAACAAATACAAACGTATCTTATATATAAAAGCCAAAGTGACCAGTTGACTGTTAGATCAGTCAACCAGGAGCAATGATGCGCACTGACCAGCAGGAGGCAGACGTTCGATGCAGGAGCTGCCCCCTGGTGGTCAGTGTGCTCCCACAGTGGAAGTGCTGCTCAGATGACCAACAGTGTACCAAACCCTAGGGTCATGGCTGGAGAGCACGCACTAATATTGCCTTAGGACAGGCACATGGAGACCACAGTGGAGTGGCAGGAGCCTACGGAGTGGTGGTGGCAGCGGGCTTGGACTCCTCCACAGCTGCCTGCCACTTTGCCACTACTACATCCCTTGGAGGATATAGGACTGCCGGTTTTGGCCAATCCCCACAGTCCAGGCCAAGGGACCCTACCAGTGCATGAATCTGTGCACCTACCTCTAGTAAATTTATAATAAACTTATGCACCGGTGGGGGCCCTCAGCCTGGTCAGCGATCTGGGCCGATCAGGGCCGGCTGGCCAGGGGGAGGGACTGCAGGAGATTGGCCGGTCGGGGGAGGTTGGCTGTGGGAATGCACTGACCACGAGGGGGCAACTCCTGGTTGTCAGTGCATCATCATAGCAACTGGTCGACTGGTTGAGTGGTTGACCGGTCATAATGATCACTTAGGCTTTTATATATATAGATGTATTGGGGGAGATAGATTTACAAGTGATAGAAACATCGTTAATGTTTGTTGAAGATGAGGGATTGGTACATGGACGACCCTTGTACTATTCACTATACTTTGGTATGTGTTTGAAAACTACCACTAAAACAAAAAGGAGCTCTTAAATAGTACTCCCTGGAAGAATAGGTGCCAAACTAATAATATTGGTTTCTGGAGAGGAGGGGAAGAGACCAAGATTGGGAGTGGGGGTCTATGTCTCTCTCCCCATCCCTTCCTGTCTGAAACCAGTAGACACCCCCTTTTTTCTCTTACCTGTATAACGAAAGACATTTTTAATATGTAATAATGAAGGATCTGTGGGTGACTTAGTCCAGCAAACTCTACAATTGGGAACCTAAAACCTTCAGACTCGGACTCCAAATGGCGCAGTGGGAGATGCTGCAGAACCTCGACAGCCCGTTTCAGGAGCAGCTGCACCAGCTCTACGCAAACAGCCTCCTGCCGGTGGACATTCGGCAGGACCTGGCGGTGTGGATCGAAGACCAGAACTGGTGAGGCCCTCAGAAAGCTGGGTGGTGGGGAATGAGGAAAATGGGCTCTTTTTTCTGAGCCCCTGGGACCCTGTGAACACCGATGGCAGGATGGGTTAGAAGGCCTGAAGACAGTAGCAACCCTTCAGAGATACTTCTCTCTGTCCTTCCTGGTCTCCAGGCAGGAAGCTGCGCTGGGCAATGACCATTCCCAGGCTGATATGCTCTGCTTCTACTTCCTGGAACAACTAAACGAAGAGTGTGCCCGCTGCAGCCAGGACCCCGAGTGCTTGTTGTTGCAGCATAACTTGCGGAAATTCTATCGGGACATTAAGGTACTGGAGGAGAGGCAATAACGAAGTAGGAACGGGAGCTGGAGAGCAGGGTTCTGGGTATAGAACAGGGCCTGGAGGTGCAAAGGGACAGGGGCAGACCTGAGGGAAGGGGAACAGAGTCTGGATGTGGGGGGCCGCTGGCAGAGAGAAGGTCAGTGTTCAGATGAACCTGTTGGGAAGAGACGAGGGTTTGGGGACGCGTGGTGAGAGAGGGAAGGGCTGGGGACCCTGAGGGCGGGGAAGGATTGCACCACTGATGGGAGTGTTCATTGGAGGCAGTTGAATGGAATCAGTCTTCTCTCTTTGCCTCCTGCAGGCCTTACCCCGGGGCCCTATCCAGTTGGCTGAGATGATCTTCAATCTCCTTCTGGAAGAAAAACGAATTCTGATGCAGGCTCAGAGGGCTCAAGTGGTGAGGGCAGTGCGCTGTTGGTATGGGAAGCCCCTGGAGTGGAGGGGCCATGGGACGGACTCAGGACATTTGTCTCGGAATAAGATCCCCAAGTAGCCTTGTTATGTAATTTCAGGGCTGGACTTTAGGGAAGGAAGGTAGGAGTTGACTATGCTCAGAGTCTCTTTATTTCAGGAGCAAGAAGAGCCAGCCCCCGAAGCACCTGTACAGAGCCAGCAGCATGAGATCGAATCCCGGATCCTGGAATTAAGGGCTATGATGGAGGTTGGTAGATGTGGCAAGAGTCAGGGTGGGCAGGATTCAGCCTGCCTCCTGCCACAGAAGCAGCCTCAGCTGGGTCCCCTCCCCTCCGCAGAAGCTGGTGAAGTCCATCAACCAGCTGAAGGACCTGCAGGATGTCTTCCTCTTCCGATACAAAACTCAGGCCCGAGGTAGGCAGCACGCTGCCGGGTGGGAGGACAGCTTCCTGCTGGGAGGCCGAGGGTGGAAGAGAGCAGCAGGGGAAAGTCCCAGTAAAGAGGAATCACCTTTGGCTGCACCTCTCTGACTGTAGTTCCACCGCCATGCAAAGCTACAGGGGCCAGGGTCCGCTGTGGGGGTTGGGCTGGAGGTGTGGCTGAGGGACAGCGAGTGAGTGCTGGAGTAGATGGAGTAGGCTTCTGTTTCGAGCCGGGTCATTGAGAATTCGCCCGAGGGCCCAGAGGGATCTGTGCTTTGCTTTGGTTCCCCTTCCTCTCCGTCAGAATTCCCCCTTCCCAACTCGGACCGAGGCTTAGGTCAGGAAGGCGAGGGGAAGGAGTCCTCGGTCTGAGCACTTGTCTCACTTCCTGCTCCTGCCATCCAGCGAGGACACCTCTGGACCCCCATCAGACCAGACAGCATCAGATTCTGCAGGCAACTCTCAATGAACTGGACAAAAGGAGGAAGGTGGGAGGAAAAGCAGGCAGGGTGTGGGCAGCAGAGGACGGGGAAACGAGGGATCCGGGAGCCTGGGCTTTCTCGTCCCTGTATCCCCAGCTGGAGGGCGGGGGATGACGGTGGGAGGTGCTCCCCACGCACTCACATCTTTCTAGGAGGTGCTGGATGCCTCCAGAGGACTGCTCGGCCGACTGACTACCCTAACGGACCTACTGCTGCCCAATCTGGAGCAGTGGAAAGCCCAGCAGCAGAGAACCTGCATCGGAGCCCCCGCGGAGGGAGGGCTGGAACTTGTCCAGTTGGAGAAGTGGTGAGAGGCACTCCCCGCCCTCGTGCTCCCCCTGCCGCCGCCCTGAGCTTTGTGATGTCCTGTATACGGCCAAGAGGGATTGCTTTCCTAATCCCTGCTCCCCAGAAGGACCCCAGCTCCCTTATCTGAGTACAACTGTACTCTGCTCTTCATTCTCACTACCCAGAGCCCTTCATTTTTGGATATTTCTTTATTTAAATATATTTTTATTGATTTCAGAGAAGAAGGGAGAAGGAGAGAGAAAAACATCAATGATGAGAGAGAATCATTGATTGGCTGCCTCCTGCACACCCCCTGCTGGAGATCGACTGCAACCCTGGGTATGTGCCCTTGACCCGGAATCGAAACTGGGACCCTTCAGTCCGCAGGCCGACACTCTATCCACTCAGCCAAACCAGCTAGGGCAGCAGAGCCTTTCATTTTTAATCACCTGGGAGGTATACTTTTGTTTGTGCAGTGAACATCATGCAAAAAAAAAGAGAAAATTATTTATTACCTTACTACCCAGATGTAGCCACTGTAACATTTTTAAACAAAAATTGAGCCCTAGCCAGTTTGGCTAAGTTGGAAAAGTGTCAGCCTTACAGACTGAAGGGTCCCAGGTTCGATCCTGGTTGAGGGCACATGCCTGGGTTTCAGGCTCAATCCCCAGTGTGGGCATGCAGGAGGCAGCCAATCAATGATTCTCTCTCATCGTTGATGTTTCTACCTCTTTCCCTCTCCCTTTCTTTCTGAAATCAATAAAAAAATTTTTTTTTTAAATTGAATCCTACTGTTCATACTATTTTGAGATACATAGATTTGTGTGTTTTTTTCTTTTTTACCTTAGCAGTATATTATAATATTCACCCACGAGAGGCCCAATGCATGAAATTTGTGCAAGAGCAGGCCTTTCTTCTCCTGGCTGCTGGTGCCGGCTTCCCGCTGGCACCCAGGACCCGAGCTTCCCTCGCAGCCCCAGCTTCATCCAGACAGTTGTCCGAAAGGATGTCTTGATAGTCATTCTGCTGTTCGGTCTAATTAGCATATTAACTCTTTAATATATAGGATGTTACTTTCTTTTTTTAATATATTGATTTTGTACAGAGAGGAAGGGAGAGAGATAGAGAGCTAGAAACATCGATGAGAGAGAGTCATCGATCAGCTGCCTCTTGCACACCCCCTATGGGGGATATGCCCGCAACCAAGGCACATGCCCTTGACCGGAATCGAACCCGGGTCCCTTCATTCCCCAAGCCAATGCTCTATCCATTGAGCCAAACCGGTTTTGGCTAGGATGTTACTTTCAATGGCTGCATTATTGTCCTCTATATGGAGGTAACATAATTTAATTAATGAACTATTATTTTTGGACATTTGGGTTGTTTTTAATTTCTTGCTATTTTTCTAGTAAACTTTTTATTTTGTATTTATTTTAAAAATATATATTTAAATTTATTTCAGAAAAGAAAGGAAAGGGAGAGAGAGATAAAAACATCAAAGATGACAGAGAATCATTGATCGGCTGCCTCCTGCACGCCCTCTACTGGGGATCGAGCCTGCAACCTGGGCCTGTGCCCTTCACCGGAATTGAACCCAGGACCCCCCAGTCCATAGGCCAACGCTCTGTCCACTGAGCCAAACCAGTTAGGGTTCATTGTTTTTGTTTTTTAATTTTTTATCTTAGTAGTACATTTATTTGTTTGTGGGTTTTTGTTTTATTTTTGTCAATCCTCACCTGACGATATGTTTCCTTTTATTTATTTATTTTTTTGTTGTTGTTAAGAGACAGTGGCAGAGGGAGAGACAAAGAGAAACATCAATGTGACATATCGGTGGGTTGCCTCCCGCACATGAGGCTGGGGATTGAGCCTGCAACTGAGGTACATGCCCTTGACCTTCAATCTGCAGGCTGATGCTCTGTCCACTGAGCCAAACTGGCTAGGGCAAGAGTATATTTATTAAATGTGGGGATAGTGAAACCAGGAAGGGCCTAGGCTAGAAGAAGCAATAGGAGTCAGTCTGGGCGGGGCTGCTTTGGCTCTAGAAACGTTATGGAAAGAAGTGAGCGAAGGCAGGGCTGCTGTCAGCTCACGGAGAGTCAGAGAAATGGGGCCTTGAGGTCAGGTTCGGGGTTAGCCCGGGATGAGCTACCACGGCCTGTTGCTCCCCTGGTTGCAAGTCTCATGGGGATCCTTAGAGTTCAGGAGATGCGTGCCTGGGGGAAGAGAAAAAGGGTGAGGGAAAGGAGACTGCATGCTTCCAGGAATGAGAGCTTGTCTTGCTTCATTGTTTTGTTTTATTTTGTTTTGTTTTGAATATATTTTATTGATTTTTCACAGAGAGGAAGGGAGAGAGATAGAGAGCCAGAAACGTCGATGAGAGAGAAATATCGACCAGGTGCCTCTTGCACACCCCCTACTGGGGATGTGCCCACAACCAAGGTACATGCCCTTGCCGGAATCGAACCTGGGACCTTCCAGTCCGCAGGCCGACGCTCTATCACTGAGCCAAACCGGCTTTGGCGCTTCATTGTTTTTTAATAAAATTTTTAAAAAGTCGCTTTTTCTGATTATAAATACAATGTAGACCAATTTAAAAAGTTTCAGACAATGTAAAAGAGTAAAGAATGCCCGGTTGGGTATGGCTCAGCAATTAAGCACCAACCCAGGAATCAGGAGGTCACAGGTTCAATTCCTGGTCAGGGCATATGCCCAGGTTGTGGGCTTGGTTCCCAGTTGGGGGGCATGCAAGAGGCAGCCAATCAATGATTCTCTCTCATCATTCATGTTTCTACCTCTCTCTCCCTCTGCCTCCCTCTCTGAAATCAATAAAAATATATTAAACATAATAATAATAATTTAAAAAAGAAAAGAAAAAAGAAATCAACCATCTGTTTGATATAATCATGCAAAGATAGGTACCCTCTGTTTATGCTTTTGCATACTTTTTCCAGATTTCCCCTATGCCTATACACAAAAATACATCTATTTTAAGCAGAAGTCAAATCATATCCTATCTATACTATCTGGTAATTTTTAAAAATTTAATATTTGTGGACATTTTTCCATGCTAAATATTTGAGCCTATATCATTATATTTAATGTTGCATTACATGTATATGCCCTAATTTATATACCTAATAATCAAATGTTTCTCATTTTCTATGACAAATAACGAAGCTATGAATTTCTTGGTACATTTATCTTTGTCCATTTGTCTGATTATTTTCTTAGGATATATCTTAGAAATGTAATACTATAAAATGTATGCACACTTTTTGAGGCTTTTTAAAAAAATAGTTTCAGCTGAAACTGGTTTAGCTCAATGGATAGAGCGTCGGCCTGTGGACTGAAAGGTCCCAGGTTTGATTCTGGTCAAGGGCATGTACCTTGGTTGTGGGCACATCTCCAGTGGGGGGTGTGCAGGAGGCAGCTGATGGATGTTTCTCTCTCATAGATGTTTCTAGTTCTCTGTCTCTCTCCCTTCCTCTCTGTAAAAAAAATCAATAAAATATATTTTTAAAATAAATAAATAAATAGTATATATCAAGCATCATATGAAAGTCAGTTTATTATGTTCATCTTTTACCAATTTTAATGTGAAAGTGACTTTGATTTTCATTTCTTGGATTATGAATCAAGTTGAATAGTCAATGTTTCCTGGATTCTTTTTTTTTTTTTTTGTCCCAATCAGTTTCAGTTCTCCACAGAGTTAAAGGGGAGCTCTCCGAGCCTGTTTGGGGGCTCCGGGAAACTCACGGGTTCTCTCCCCCCCGGTTCTATCCCTCAGGTTCACAGACGGAGCCAAGCTCTTGTTTCACCTGCGGCAGCTGCTGAAGGAGCTGAAGGACTTGAGCCATGTCAGCTATGACAACGACCTGCTGGTCACAGGGGTGGACCAGCAGGAGGCCCAGGCCACAGAACTGCTGCAGCACCTGCTCCACAGGTGGAGAGGCCACGGCGGGCCCTCCCGGGAGGGAGGCGCAGGGGCGCCACTCTGACAGGTGCTGAGCTACTATCTCTCCTTCTCCTCCCAGAGCCTTTGTGGTAGAGACCCAGCCGTGCATGCCTCAGACTCCCCACCGACCCCTCATCCTCCGGACCGGGAGCAAGTTCACTGTCCGAACAAGGTTGGCGTTTCAGAACTCCTTCCTGACTCCTTTTTCCAGACCTGGCACTGCTCGCTCTCTGGCTTTAAAGATCTTCCCACGCTTGGCTGTTCCTTCTCTTCCCCGCCAAATCAATCTGCCTCTTCTAACCTCTTCCCTGATCTTTTCAAACATCGGGTCTGTTCGGGAGTTGAGGTTGACCCCTCTCTCCTCCCCAGGCTGCTGGTGAGGCTGCAGGAAGGCAGCGAGTCACTGACTGCAGAAGTCTTTATTGACAAGTAAGTTGGAGCAGGTGAAAGGTGGGGCCAAGGAGTGGCCGAGCTGTGGGCTGAGGGGTGGGCCAGGGGACCCCTCCTTGTCCCGAAGGCACTGGGGCTGTGTTCTTCCCCCTTTCATTCCTACCTCATAGAAATAACAGTTCATCCTTTTATTGAGCGCCTACTCAAACAAAGGCATGCAACTTGTCCAATACTCACTCAATTGTCGAGAAACCCTAGGCGTTAGCTGTTATCAATGCACCATCAGATGAGAAAACAGGCTTGGCAAGATGATGTGCCTTGAAGGCCGCAGAGCTAGTGAGCTGCAGATTTGGGGTTGAACTTAGGACTGTCTGATCCCAAAGACCAGATTCCTAATTTCTATGCTGTTTTGCTTCCCAATGACAATTATTTTGTTTCTTTTCAGGAATCCTCCTCAATCACAAGGGTAGGTACCTGACAACCTTTGTGCACTGCGTGAGCGGCACAGCCTCCTGCGGCAGCTCTGGGGGGGGGGGGGGGGGGGGGGAAGGTCTATTGGGGCGGCATATGAGCAGCGGGAGTGGAAAGGTCTGAAATGAAACGGGACTTTCGTTGTTTTCCTGCCGAGTTTTCGAATAACTCTGCTCCCGTCCTTCTGATGTTTTCTTCCTCCTGGAACAGCTTCCGGAAGTTCAACATTCTGACCTCAACCCAGAAAACGTTGACCCCCGACAAAGGGCAGAGTCAGGGCTTAATTTGGGACTTCGGCTATCTGGTAGGAGGCTAGTGGCTTATATTTCTAGGCCTTGAGAAGTCTTGTGGGCAAAACGGGTTCCAGGGATGCTGGGTTCCTCTAGCATTTTCTCTCCTTCCCCTCAATCCACAGACTCTCTTGGAGCAACGTGCAGGCGGCTCAGGAAAGGGCAGCAGCAAGGTGAGGCCGGGACAGAGGAACGGGGGGGGGGGGGGGGGCAGGAGGCACATGCCCCAGGGCCCTCTGCTCACGGCCCTGGCTGTCCCAGGGTCTGCCGGGCGTGACAGAGGAACTGCACATCATCAGCTTCACGGTCAGATACACCTACCAGGGGCTGAAGCAGGAGCTGAAAGTGAGTGGCAGCGGGCGCCGGAGAGATGAAGCAGGGCTGGGAGAGGGCGTCGGGAGGGGCAGCAGAAGCCTCTCTGGCGAAGTATTGCCCCTCGCCCCACCCCAATGTCCGCAGCTGGAATCCCCTCAGCCTCCGCTCTGACCCTGTCCTCTCCCCAGGCAGACACCCTCCCTGTGGTGGTCATTTCTAACCCGAACCAACTCTCCATCGCCTGGGCCTCGATTCTCTGGTTCAATCTGCTCAGCTCAAACCCTCAGGTAGGAGGCGGGGCCCGCAGGCGAAGGGAGGTGAGGCGGGGTGGCAGCTGGTGGAGGAGCTGCTCGGAGCCATCCCGTCCTCCCCCTGTGCCCACAGAATCAGCAGTTCTTCTCCAGCCCCCCAAAGGCCCCCTGGGCCTTGCTGGGCCCCGCGCTCAGTTGGCAGTTCTCCTCCTACGTTGGCCGAGGCCTCGACCGGGACCAGCTGAGCATGCTGAAGGACAAGCTGTTCGGTACGCACCTCCTTTCCGGCAGCCCCAGCCCTCTGTCCGTCCACCCCAGGAGCCCTGGCCTGGCCTCCTCCCAGCCTCTAAGGGCTTTCTGTCCACAGGGCAGAACTCTGGGAGCGAGGGGGCGTTGTTATCCTGGGCCGACTTCACCAAGGTAACGGCACCCTGCATCCCGGGCGGCCAGATCCCAGCCCCATCCAAACCCGCCCCTCCCCCATCTCTCCTTCCCCCATCCCTCCTCCCCCATCCCGCCTTCCCCACCCCGAGGGCAACCCCACACCTCCCCGCTCTTCCGCTCCTCCTGCAGCGAGAGAGCCCGCCGGGAAAGCTGCCGTTCTGGACGTGGTTAGACAAGATCCTGGAGCTGGTCCACGACCACCTGAAGGATCTCTGGAATGATGGGTGAGACCTCGCTCAACCTCCGTCTCCCTGGACCAGCCGCCTTTCGAGGCTTGAGTGGGCTCTGGGCGCCCTCCTGTGGTCAAGAGGGAGAGAGAGCAAAGACCGGGCCAAGGTCACGCCCCCTCCCATTGGCAGTGACAGTGAGAGCCGGGACTTGTGTCCCGCGTCTGTTGTGCTCCAGAGCCTGCTGGGTGCTCTCATGAATTCTCCCGTGTAACCTTACCCCCGTGCTGAGTGGGGGGAGTTGCCACCCCCATGTCAGGTGAAGAAACGAAGGCTTAGAGCAGTGTTTCCCAAAGTGCGGTCCGCGTCCCCCCAGGGTTACGGGAAGAGTTTGGTGGGGGTACCCGTTGCACCGGAGTTTGGTGGGGATATGCACTGCACCGTGCTTAGCTGCGTCTAACCCTACGTTCTCGTGAGTATGAGGGGTACTCAGCGTTACGAAAACTATAGAAGGGGTACTCATATGTCAAAAGTTTGGGAAACACTGGCTTAGCGGAATTAAAGGGGCTGAGTCAGGGTTCAAAGCCGGGCCCGTCTGACCCCAGGCCTGTGCGCTCCCACCCATTTGTTGGGCCCTGAATCCTCAGGCCTCTTCCAGCCCCGGGAGGTGGAATTATCAGGGGAGCGAAGTGCGGGGGCCACAGGGAGCCCTCTGCCAGGGGCAGAGGCGGGAGACACCGGCTCCCTCTCCCGCCCCGGGCGCGGGAGGCCGCTCAGCCGCTGCCCGCTCCCCCAGGCGCATCATGGGCTTCGTGAGCCGCAGCCAGGAGCGCCGGCTGCTCAAGAAGACGGTCTCCGGCACCTTCCTGCTGCGCTTCAGCGAGACGGTGGAGGGCGGCATCACCTGCTCCTGGGTGGAGCACCAGGACGATGGTCAGCCGCCCCTCCCGCCCCGATGCCTGTGCCCGCTCCCCGGCTCCGCCCCGCGCCCGCCGCAGGCCTGGGGGTGGGCGGGCAGGCGGGGGGTGGGGGGGGCTCCGGGCCCGGCCTCCTCCCTCAAGCCCGCCCGCCCCCACCCGCCGCTGCAGATAAGGTGCTCATCCAGTCGGTGAAGCCCTTCACCAAGGAGGTGCTGCAGTCGCTGCCGCTGACCAAGATCATCCGCCACTACCAGCTGCTCACCGAGGAGAACGTGCCCGAGAACCCGCTGCGCTTCCTCTACCCCCGCACCCCCCGCGACGAAGCCTTCGGGGGCTACTACGAGGACAAAGGTGAGGGCGCCGGCCGCCTGCACGGGTCCGGCCTCCGCCAGCCCAGCTCCTCCTTCCCGGCGCTGCTGGGCGACCCCAAGCCAGCAGAGACGCTGAGGGACTGGTTCGTGGGGCCTTGCTCATTGGCAAGGAGAGATCGCTGTACCTCAGCACTGACCTCCCTGCCTCTGTGCCCGGCCCCACAGTCAATCTGGAGGAGCAAAGGAAGTACCTGACGCGGAAGCTCATCATGGTCTCCAACAGGTGCGACGTGACCTCTGCGCCCTCCTCCCCCGCCCTGGCGGCTGACGCGGTAACCCAGCCGGTCCAAGTCCAGGCTCCCTGGCCTTCTCTCCTCACCCACGCGCTGCAGTCCTCTAGGTTTCTCCTGCTCTGCGACTCTCTCTTCTCTATGTTCCTGCTGCCATCCGTCAGCTGTCTCCACACAGGTTCCCTGATAACAACAGTCATAAACCCTGATGTTAACGGACATCTGATTGATGCCAAACATGGTGCTAGATACTTTTATAACGTCTTTAAAAAATTAAGCCCTCGGTGCCTATACAGCCAGAGACCCCCCTCTCCAGAATGTATTAAAAGGCTTGATTTCGCCATAAAAAAAAATTTTTTTTAATGAAGCCCTGTCCTAGTCAATTTGGCTCAGTGGATAGAGCATCGGCCTGCAGACTGGTTCAATTCCAGTCAAAGGCACATGCCTGGATTGTGGGCTCCATCCAATGTGCAGGAGGCAGTCAAGCAATGATTCTCTCTCATCATTGTTTCTCTCTCTCTCTCCCTCTCCCTTCCTCTCTGAAATAAATTAATATATATATATATATTTTTTTAATGATCCTTATGAGAACCTATATGAGTAGGTAATAGGAACAAGAATCTATACTAATAAAAGGGTAATATGCTAATTAGACCAGGTGACCAGACTTGTTCCAGATGTCCGACTTACCTCCAAACAGTTAGAGTGCAACCAGGCCAGCAGAGGGCAGTTGGGGGATGGCCAGGCTGGCAAGGGGTGGGAGGTGGGGCAGTTGGGAGGCAACCAGGCAGGGGGGGCAGTTGGGTAGCCAGGCCAGTTGGGGGGCAGCTAGGCCAGCAGGGGGGCAGTTGCAAGGTAACCAGGCCAGCAGGGGGCAGTTGGGGGACAATAAGGCAAGAGGAAGTTGGGGGGTGGCCAGGCCAACAAGGGGCAGTTGGGGGGCAGGCAGGAGGGTAGTTGAGGTCACCAGGCTGGCAGGGGGATGTTGGAGGGCAATCAGGGAGGCAGGCAGGCGAGTGGTTAGGAGCCAGTGGTCCCAGATTGTGAGAGGGATGTCTGACCGCCAGTTTAGGCCCAATTTCGCAGGAGTCCCTGGCTGGAGAGGTGCAGGCCGGGCTGAAGGACCCTCCCCCATGCATGAATTTTGTACACCAGGCCTCTAGTATTTAATGAAAGTTTATTATTATATACCAGGCACTGGGCTAAATCTTTGTGCCCATTTTCTCATTTATTGAATTTTCATAATAGTCCTGAGACAGACACTGTTATTACAGTCTTCAGCTGAGGAAACAGGTCTAGCACAGTAAAGTGGCATGCTCAAGGTCCAGGGCTACGAAATGATCCAGGTCTGTCAGGTTCCATAGCCCTGCTTTTAACCAGCCTCCTGCCTCTCAAATATTATTGGTTATTGCTGTTCCGATTTTATAGATGATAACTCTGAGGCTCAGAGAAGTTCGTTAACTTGCCTAAGGTCACCCAGCAGGTAAAGTATAGAATTCAAACTCTGATAAGCCTGACTGATGGAATTCAGACTCTGCAAAGCCTATCTTCTTTGTTTGTAATTGATTTTAGAGAGAGCTAGGATGGGAGAGAGAAAGAGAGAAAAAAACATACAGAGAGAAACATCAATTCGTTATTCCACTTATTTATGCATTCATTGGTTGACTCTTGTATATGGCCTGATCGGGGATTGAACCCCCAGCCTTGGCATATCGGGACGACGCTCTAACCGAGTTACCTGGCCAGGGCAGAGCAAAGCCTGTTCTCTTAAGCCCTCTGCTCTATTACCTTCTTAGATTAGAGAAGTGACTCTGCTTGCTCTACCATTCCCCAGGCCACCTACGCTGCTAAGCACTCTCCTTTGTCTGTTGGGATGTCCAGACAGGTGGATGAGCTGCAGCACCTGCTGGAGCCTAACCTGGAGCCAGAAGTGGAGTCCTTAGAGCTGCCCCTGGGGCTGGCTCCAGGCCCAGAACTGGATCTAGGGCTAGACCTGGAGTTGGAGCCACTGCTGAAGGCAGGGCTGGACCTGGGGCCGCCCCTGGAGCCTGCACCGGACGCGGTATCCCCAAGAATGCCGGACCTGGCACCAGAGCTGAAGCTGGAGCCTCTTCTAGAGCCTGTTTCACAGCCCGTGCCAGAGGCAGAGCCAGAGTCAGACTTGCCCCACGATCTGAGACACTTGAACACTGAGGGAATGGAAAGTAAGTGATGAGACAGGGCTGGTGGGAAGGGGGTGCCTCCCTTTCCCCACTCCCCTCTCCCCCCCCCCATTACAGAACATGCCCAGGTCTACGCTCCTCCCAGGAGAGGAGGCTCAGTTCCCGTGTGATTCCTTTCCTGGGAAATGGCCACAGCAACCCCTGCCCTAGCTAAGTGCCCCCTCAGGCCCTGTCTGGACCTCTGCTACCCTCTCCCTCACTTTCCTTGCTGGGTTGGGAACCCCTCACCCAAGATCAGAGCCTCACGTGTCTCTCTCTGGGCTTCCCAGTCTTCATGAACAACATGGAAGAAATCATGCCAAACGGCGACCCACTGTTAGCGGGCCAGAGCACCGGGGAGGAGGTGTGCATCTTCTACCGCAGCCACTTCTTCGCAGACGACCCCTTGACTCCTGACTACTAGGAACTATGTTTCCCCTCTTCTTTCCATCTCTTACCCCGTACCAAGCCCTACATCACGGTGTCGCTCCCCCAGGATGGGGAATCAGGCACGTGCCCCTTCCAAGCGGGGTTAAGGGCCTGATTTGAAGTGTAATATGGGTAAGAAGAGGGCACCAGTGAACCAGAACGGATGTTGGCCATAGCCCAACGTAGCATCCCGGAGGCTGCCTGCTGTGCTGGGAGGTGGAGCGGTTTTAGGAACAGGCCGGGGCAGTTCGGAGGTACTTGGAGGGCTCAGAGAAGTCGCTTCTTTCCAGTATGGGAGAATTTCCACATTTTAACAGCTGGAAAGACTGACCTGGCGCCCGCTGGCATTGGCCCGCAGTGCGGAACTAACCCTATCCCTCCTGCCCCCTCCAGAGCCAGGGCTAAGCCTGCAGGTAGGGCCACCACTAAAGGCAGGGCTGGCCCCGGGGCCTTTAGCGGTGGCCACATCCATTCCTCCCCTGGAAGCCATCCTACCAGCCTGATGTGCCTGTGAAGCTTTGCACAATGATAACTCTGCTTCGTCTCCACTTTCCCGATGCTTAGGAGACCAGGGGTTACCTAGCTGGGAATTCAGGAACCGCTTTTTATAGTATAGATTGGTATGTTTTCGGAGGAAGAGAACCCCGGGGGGGTCTTAGATATTTCTCTATTAAGATGTCATTCCTTTCTTCTGTGCAATCTACCTGAAAAGACTGTTTCTATCCCTTGGGCATGGCCCTGGGCAAAGATCAAGTTCCTGGAACTTAGGACCTTAAAGGTGTATCTTGAGCTCTGAACAACCTTCCGCCGTAGCCATTCCCAGGAAACCCAGGACCTCTGCCCTTGCTCTACGATGTGCTTCTAGTAAACCTGAGGTGCAAATGAAAGCGAGGCCTCCTACACGCGGCTGTTTCCTGCTGGTGTGTTAGAGCAGCGGCTTTCAACCTTTTTCATCTCATAGCACTTAGAAACTAACTACTAAAATTTTACAGCACACCAAAAAAAATTTGTTTTGGCCAATCTGACAGAAAAATAGGTATAATTTTGATTCATTCCTACAGGATGGCTATTGTGTTGGTTGTTGTCTTTTTTTTTTTTTTTTTTTTTTTTTTTTTTTTTTTTTTTTGACAGTCTAAGGAAAAAGAGGTCAGTGCTCCTGAATAAAGTTAGGTATTATATATTTTTTTTTTTAAAAAAATTTTGAGACACTGGTTGAAAATCATGTGTTAGAGAAACAGTACTATTGAGAGAGTCCCATCTAAGCAGAAGTGGCTAATAAATTTTGTGCTGACTACAAGTGTTTGTCTTTATTTCTCTTCTCACAAAGACTAGTATTCTTGAAAACACCAGCAGGCCATGTAGGATCAAGGTCAGCAAAGCATGGCATGTCTTCCACCCACCCCAGCATGCCCCTCTCCTGTCATGTTTCTTCTTCTCCTTTTTTCTTTTTTTTAATATATTTTATTGATTTTACACAGAGAGGAATTGAGAGGGATAGAGAGTTAGAAACATCGATGAGAGAGAAACATCGACCAGCTGCCTCTTGCACCACCCCCTCTGGAGATGTGCCCTTAACCAGAATCGAACCCAGGATCCTTGAGTCCGCAGTTCGACGCTCTATCCACTGAGCCAAACCGGTTTCGGTGTGTTTCTTCTTAACTTCCCTGTTTGGAGCAACCTTTCCTGACCCTTAGATTCTTCCAGGGGATGTGAGCTCTATATGAGTGTGTGTAAGGGTCGGGGTGTTATAGAATTAGCCCACTGTTCCTCAGCAGGTTGGTGCCAAAACCAGATTTTTAAACCTGGGTCTGTCTGACTCCAAAGCCCATGTTTTTTGTTGATATTGTGAGGATGGAGAAAGGAAGAGAAACAATCGCTAGAACCTTTCCATACTCTTTCTTTAAACGGTAGTTTAGCCGAAACTCGTGTGGCTCAGTGGATAGAGCGTCAGCCTGCGGACTGAAGGGTCCCGGGTTCAATTCCAGTCAAAGGCATGTACCTTGGTTGTGGGCACATCCCCAGTAGGGGGTGTGCAAGAGGCAGCTGATTGATGACTCTCTCATCGATGTTTCTAACTATCTCCCTCTCTGTAAAAAAATCAATAAAATATATATATATATATTTTAAATTTTTAATTTAACTCACTTGGGGTAATCAAACTCCCTTCGGAAGGGGCCCACAGATACCCATTGAGGGAGAATCCCATTAGTTTGGGGGGTTTACCTTTATCTTCCTGGAAAGCCCTTTCTGCTCAAACAGCTCTGACTTTTGATCCTGCAGTGATCGGGATTCCCATGTGGTTAAATGCACTCTTGGCCAAGAAAGCAGGGAAGGAGGCACAGGGTCAGGGAGCAAGAGAGGTGTCCCATTTCCTAATCTCATCCCCATGGATCCTTTTTATCTTGCTATACCACACGGATTAAGACCGAACAGATCCCAGTTCCTCTATCCACCAGGGGGTCAAGAGGAAATACGCTCCACCGTAGCCCCAGAGTAGAAGAAGGCTGCGCATGGTCGTCCCTCATCCCTGTTTTTTCATTTGTCTTCTTTTCCTCAACCAAACCTAGAAATTAGACGTAAGCATCCATATAAATAAGTTTATTGAAAAAAGTAAATAAGTTGGTATAAATATAATAAATAATCCTCCCCTGCCAATAGAATAAATAATCCCAAATTCTCCCTTCCCATCTAATAAATACTCAGCATGTCCTAGGTCAGCATCATAAATCTGCCAGTACTGGTAACTTTTCAACACATGCAGGTCCCGTTAGAATGAATGGACTGATTCACTCGCTGCCTCAGCCGACAGGTTCATCCCAGCCGTGACCACCTGGAGGCTGTTGGCTTCAGGGGCTCAGGGTCGCAGCCCCGTGGGCAAAGACCCGGGCAGCTACAGCCACAAAGGCCTGGAGGCTGCGGAGGATCTTAGGGCGGAGAAGGAGCCGCTGCCATGGTTGGCTGGGGCCGGGGCTTGGAGTCTGCTCAGTCGCCCAGTGGGGCCCCTCGGTCTGAAAGGACACAGGACACGATTAGAGAGGCCTCGAGATCCGTCACCACCGCCGCCCTAGTCTGTCAGAGACCGAGAGCTGCCGTGCTCCAGCCTCTCACTCACCTGCAGAAGCTGCCTGAGACCCAGGAGAGAGGCGTGGAGCTGGCTCACAGGGCCATCGGGGAGGAGAGAAGGCTCCCCTGTGAAAATGTCTGAGCCCAGCAGCTTCTCGTAAAATACCAGGCCCTGGTGGATCCTTTGCAAGCAGGCCTGGGAAGAAAAAGCAGTGAAAGGAAACTGACCCTCTTCCCAGTTCGTTCCCCAGAGACTCCTCCAGCTCTTTGCCTTTCCTAGTCGCAGCTGTTCCCCCACAAACACACATTAAGATCCTAGAAGATCCTAACCCCGGATGTGGTGATGTTGGAGGTGGGGCCTTCGGGAGTCGATTAGGGCCTGAGGATTGGGTCTCGTGCATGGGACTGGGGTTTATAAAAGAGACCCAGGGAGCTGCCCAGTCATGAGAGACAGTCGGGAAGAGGGCCCTCACCCAACCATGCTGGTGCCCTAAGCTCCTTAGGGGTGGACCTGGGTAACTTAATTTTTCACAGCCTCCAGAACTGCGGAGATTTCTGTTTATAAACTGCCCAGTCCGTGGTATGTCATCACAGCAGCCTGAGTGGACAAGGCCAGATGTAACTTCTACTAATTCACCAGGTGCTCAGACAGGTCCCCATCCCCTCCTTGTGGCCCAGCCTCGTCTTAGTACCTGGCTGTTGTCACGGAGACCTTGGGGATCACAGCCGTCCTCACACTGAATGTGGGGAACATCATTTGTCGTCTCATCTTCCTCTTCTCCTGCTTCTCTTGGTAGATCCTGGAATGGAGCAGAAGCATAAAAATAAGCACTTTCGCCAAAACCGGTTTGGCTCAGTGGATAGAGCATCAGCCTGCGGACTGAAAGCTCCCAGGTTCGATTCCGGTCAAGGGCATGTACGTTGGTTGCGGGCATATCCCCAGTGGGGGTGTGCAGGAGGCAGCTGATCGATGTTTCTAACTCTCTATTCCTCTCTCTTCCTCGCTGTAAAAAGTTGATAAAATATATATTTTTAAAAATAAGTACTTTCACACCCCATGTGGACTCAGGCCCGGGATGCTCCCAGGAGCCCCACTCCCCTGTCCTCTCACTCCCTGATGACATTCAACCCCCCAGCTCCCACCGAGGCCACAGAGGCTCCCATGGCCCGCAGCCTCGGAGGGCGTGGAGAGGCTCCTGCTTAGGCACAGAGGGCGCCACTCACCACGTGCCCCGTGGGCGGATGCGCACTCCAGGCCAGCGTGCAGAGCTTCTGTGAGAGCCGCTGGCACTGCGCCCAGGCAGGCCCGCTGCCCGTGGGCACAGCCCGGCCCCGTGTGGCCCGGCAGGTCAGCAGCAGCAGCAGCAGCAGGGTCATGGCTCTGCTCCCCAGCATCGTGGTGCCTGCGTCTCCAATCTGGCTGGCTCTGTGCCTTGCACCCGTCCTTGTGGAATCTCTGCCCACTTCCCCCTGTTCAGAGCCCGATTCTCTCTGTTCTGTGCGTCTCTGGTTTGGCTTCCTCTGTTCACTGAGGTTCTCAGCTGCTTCCCTTAGTTTCCTCTCCCGAGTCCCTTTTTAAGGTCCCGGCATTGTAACACCCGCCCTTTGTACTAGCAGGTGACTCACAGCAGGTGGGATTCCCCTCCCTGCATCACCCCGCTGTGGGGAGCCCAGGTAAGCAGCCTCAGCTCCGGGGGAAATGACTGCGGTGGCTGCGGCTGGAGGCCAGGGATAGGACGTATGTGTAATGCTCTCCAGGAATTGAAATGCTCTAGAAGGGGCGGGGTGGCGTAATGAATATTTAAATGAGTCTAGTCTGAAATTCCTTCCTGTTTAACTTTTTCCTCATCTTTCTGCCTCTCAAACCTACTCCCCCAACCTAATTTCCTTACCTCCCCTAGCCTAAGGAAAAATTAAAACATAAGCATTCGTTTATTTCCCAATAAAATGGCAAACTCCATTTGGAATGAAGTTTAGCTCCCACCAGATACCCTCTGAAAATAAGAGGGCTTCTTTTCCTTTATCAGTGACAGCGTCGCTTTCACTGGGAGAGAAGGGACATGAAGGCACGTTGAGAGCGGGGCAGCCACGTAATGCTGTGTGAAGCGCTACGGCTCCCCCCCTTCAGGCCTCACTGTGGAGGGCAGGAGGACGGTTGGAAGGAGGGAATTGTTGCTAAGAACCGTCTGATTCTTCAGCCTTAGTGGTCCAAAGGTTCATGGGTCCTGTGGGATGCAAGTGATGGTTCTTTGGAGACACCAGTGTAAGCAAGGGCTAGAAGTCCGACTCAGATACTCCAGCCCCTGCACCACGGCAAGAAGGCTAGGACTTCCGGACAGTTGAAGGTGCTCGGTTCAGTGACGCTGGCCAGTTCTTCAGCCTGTTGCATCCATGGGTAAAATCCACCAACACTGATTTCATCACCCTCCCTGATGCAACATCAGTGAGACAGCTAAGAGTGTGAGGTCAGGCGTGGGCGTGGAGGGTGGTCCAAATCTGGGGCTGCCCCCACCCTAAGCGGAGGGTCCCAGGACAGTTTGGACATCAGAATGAGGCCGTGGGTGACCACACAGATGGCTCCCGAAGCCTCCCCGAGAGGCTGACCCTTTTCCTCTGAGAAACTTACCCTGGACAGAGGTTTCCCTTAGAATTAGTCAAAACTGCCCAGTGAAACTTCTGGTTCAAATATGACTCTCTGGTAAATCCATCCTTTGGATAAAACATTTTCAGCAGCAGGGATGTCATCTCAGTTTGAGTGAGCGCTGGTTTGTCTCTCCCCACATACAGGGGAGACTCACAGAAGGAAACTGGTGGTGGCAGTGGAAGTAGGGGAACTCACCTCACGTTCATATAATTTGTCCTAGGATGCTGCCTCCTCTGATTCCCATTCTGTGGGCCCTACAGGATAGGAGGAGAACGGCGAAGAGGAGGAGGGAGAAGTGGAAGTTTAGGGGATGACATGAGAAAAGCAAGAGTTGAGCTGGAGGCATGGGTTCGCTGCTCTGTTTCACTTCCTGGTGCTTGGGGAGTTGGGTAGGAAGCAAGGTTGGTGGGGCAATCGTGGGACTGTTGTGCGGCAGGAACTACTTCCGGGACTAGAGCTGACCTGGAGCTTCAAGGAGTCCTTGACGTCAGCAGGGCTTTAACTGTTATGCAAATCACATTCACAAGACACTAAGTAGGCCTTTCCAGTTGGATGACCAGGCTCCAAATCCAGTTGAAGTTCCCCCGGGTAGTTAATAATGATAGCTAATATACAGGGTGGGGCAAAAGTAGGTTTACAGTGGCTCATATAGAAAACTGATATGATAATGAATAAGTAATACAAGATTAAACTGTTTTTGTGTACTTTAAACTGGACACCTACTTTTGCCTCACCCTGTATATCACCTCTCACTTTATGCCAAGTGCAGTGGAACCTCGGTTCTCAAATTCATTCTGGAAGGCTGTTCAAGAAGCAATTTGTTGCCGAAACTGGTTTGACTCAGTGGATAGAGCGTCGGCCTGTGGACTGAAAGGTCCCAGGTTCAATTCCGGTCAAGGGCATGTACCTTGGTTGCAGGCACATCCCCAATGGGGGCTGTGCAAGAGGCAGATGATTGATGAATCTCTCTCATCGACGCTTCTAGCTCTCTGTCCCTCTCTCTTCCTCTCTGTAAGAAATCAATAAAATACATTAAAAAAAAAAAATAAGCAGCAGCTTTCAACTTTCGGCTCGGAGGAGGCTCAGGTACAACTTTCTTCTGTCGTCCCGAATCCGGGTTCACCCGACACCAGCTGCCTCCACCATGCCGCCGAAGTCCGACCCCAAGGAGATCAAAGTTGTACACTTGAGGTGCACCGGTGAGGAAGGGGGTGCCACATCTGCCCTGGCCCCCAAGATCGGCCCCCTGGTCCTGTCTCCAAAAACGGTTGGTGATGACATCGCCAAAGCAACTGGTGATTGTTAGGGTCTGAGGATGACAGTGAAACTGACCATTCAGAACAGACAGGCCCAGATTGAAGGAGTGCCTTCTGCCTCTGCCCTGATCATCAAAGCCCTCAAAGAACCTCCAAGAGACAGAAAGAAGCAAAAAAACATTAAGCACAGTGGAAATATCACATTCGATGAGATTATCAGCATTGCCCGACGGATGTGGCGCCGATCTTTAGCTAGAGAACTCTCTGGAACTATTAAAGAGATCCTGGGGACTGCCCAGTTTGTGGGGTGCAATGTTGATGGCTGCCACCCTCATGACATCATATATGATATCAACAGTGGTGCAGTGGATTGTCTAGCTATTTAAGAACTACAAAGGAAAAGGACTCAATTAAAGATCATTTTGACAAGCAAAAAAAAAAAAAAAAAAAGAAGAAGAAGAAGCAATTTGTTGCCTTAACCAGTTTGGCTCAGTGGATAGAGCGTCAGCCTGTGGACTCAGGGGTCCCGGTTCTATTCCGGACAAGGGCATGTACATTGGTTGCGAGCACATCCCTGGTGTGGGGTATGCAGGAGGCAGCTGGTCGATGTCTCTCTCTCATCGATGTTTCTAGCTCTCTATCTCTCTCCTCTCCCTTCCTCTCTGTAAAAAATTAATAAAATATATATTTTTAAAAATCAATAAAATATATTTTTAAAAAAGAAGCAATTTGTTAAACAACCAAATCATTTCCCATTAAAATAATGTAAATTGAATTAATTTGTTCCAGACCCCTAAAAACAAAAAAAGGAAAGAAAATATTCACAGCACAATTTCCGGAGATGTTAACAATTCAAGGTTTAGCAGTAAACTGATTCATTCTCTCCTGAGACATGTGACTAATCATATAAGTATCAGCATGAAGAGACTGTCGGGCCCTAAGGGTGGGAGGGGGAGAAGAACCAAAGTTTTATTCAACAACCAAGATGTTTTTTCCATGAACAGGTACATGCTCTTCACTGGGAATCAAACCTAAGACCCTTTGGTGGGTGCTCAAGCCAATGCTCTAACCACTTGGTTGAGGACCAATTTGTTCAAGATAGAAGATGTTGGAGAACAAACTTTCTCTAACATCTTCAATCTTAACTTCCTTGAACAACTTTATTTTTTCTTTTATTGATTTCAGAGAGGAAGGGAGAGGGAGAGAGAGATAGAAATATCAAATGATGACAGAGAGTCATTGATAGGCTACCTCCCGCATGCCCCCTACTGGGGATCAAGCCCACAACCTGGGCATGTGCCCTTTACCAGAATCGAACCCGGGACCTTCCAGTTCACAGCCCTATACTCTATCCACTGACCCAAACTGGCTAGGGCTGAACAACTTTCTTGAATGTCTCCCATCTCAAACAATTTGGTTCTTGGCCTGAAAACCCTTTCATGCTGATGCCTGTATGGCAAGTCACGTTTTCTTAGTTAGGTACTTTTCTCTGAGCCTAGGACCAAATCCGCTCGGCCCACAGGGACAGTATCAATACCACCAATTTTGTAGACATCCTGGAGGGGCAGATGCAGGGGCCTGTCAGCTGGCTGAATTGGTGGCAGGATGCAATCCAGAGCTTCAATCAGTGTGGTTCCTCTGGCATTGCCATCTTTGTGGACTTGAACCAAGGCCCATTAGCACATGGCTCCAGCATGTTGTCGCCATGCCAACCAGAAATTGGCACAAATGCTACTGTGTCAGGGTCGTAGCCAATTTTCTTAATGTAGGTGCTGACTTCTTTAACAATTTCCTGGTATCTTTTCTGGCTGTAGGGTGGCTCAATGGGATCCATTTTGTTAACACCAACAACAGCTGTTTCACACCCAGGGTGTAGGCCGCAGGGCATGCTCACAGTCTGTCCATTCTTGGGGATGCCTGCTTCAAATTCATCAGCACCGGCAGCAACAGTCAGGACAGCACGTCAGCCTGAGATGTGCCTGTCATCATGTTTTTGATGAAGCCTCGGTGTCCCAGGACATCAATGATGGTCACATAGTACTTGCTGGGCTCAAATTTCCACAGGGAGATATCAATGGTGATACTTCACTTATGTTCCGCTTTCAGTTTATTCAAGACTCAGTCAACCCCATCTGAGCAGCCTCCTTCTCATATTTCTTGATGGTTCTTTTGTCGATGCCACCACATTTGTAGATCAGATGGCCAGTAGAGGTGGACTTACCAGAATCTACATGTCCGATGACAGTGATGTTGATGTGAATCTTTTCCTTTCCCATTTTGGATTTGAGTTAATGGTCGTTCTGACAGCAAACCCATTGCGAAAAAAGGCCCATATATTTTTAAAGAGAGTGGAAGGGAGTGGGGAGAGACAGAGAGAGAAACATCAATGTGAAAGGGACACATCAATTGGTTGCCTCCGGCCTGTTCCCCCACCAGGGCCAAGGATTGGGTCTGCAACCTAAGTACATGCCCCTTGGCCAGAATTGAACCTGGAA